GCGAGCCCCGGCCCCCCGACAGCGACGCCGAGGGCCGCCGCCTCTCCGGCGAGCTCATCTCCATGCGCGACCTCACGGCCTCCAACAAGGTGTCGCTGGCGCTGCTGCAGAAGCAACTGTCGGAGACGGCCAACGGGTACCCGCGCCACGTGTGCATCAACACGCGCCAGAACGGCTTCTCGGGCGGGGTGGGCGCGCTGGGCATCATGAACAACCGGCTGGCCGAGACCAGCGCCTCCAGGTAGAGGACGCAGCGGCCTGCCCGCCGGGCAGCTGCCAGGAACCTGAGCCGGCCCCGGATGCCAGCGGGCGCCCTTTGCTTTCCTTCTGTCCGACGCTGGCGCTTTCTTAATCTTTATCCAATAAAATGAAAACCAAAAAACAAACTTTTTATATATATACACACACATCTATTTAAAGAAATGCTATTTGGCCAGGCCTGGTTGTCTCAAGGGCAGGTTTGGGGAACGCCTGTTTAGCTGCATTGAGGGTCCCCTCTTGGAGAACTGTACCCCCATCCCAAGCAGATTTTTGCCTGTAAAGAGAAAATAAAAGGTACCCCAGCCCCTGCCCAGGGCAGATCGGAGCCGGGAGAACGCATCCCTGGGCTCTGCTGCTTCACACCACACCCCCTCCCCGTGCACCCGAGCAGCCTGCAACCCCAGAGCATATGGTGCAACTTTTCATGGCACCGAATTCTCTCCTCGGCATTGAGACGTCGGCCCAGCCTAGCAGCTTCCTTCTGGTCGTCAGGAGTGATAATAGTCACAGTTTTGACAGGTGGGGGTGGGGAGAGCCATATGCTGCCTGCCGGTGTGTATATATAGACGAGCCACTACGCACGGGAGAAGGGTGTAGTATTACGCAATGACACCGAGCCTGCCTCCGCCGCGTGGACTGCGGCAGTTCCCCCAAGGTTCAAAACCTGCAGTGCCGAGGGACGCCAGCTGGCCTTTCTCAGCCCCCTGAGCACGCCACATGGGGCAGCTGATTGAGGGTGGCTTGTGGGGACAGGAGAACTCAGGGGGGCATCCGGGGGGTCCTGCTTGACGTCACCTGGCTGACCTCTGAGGGTCTTTATGTCCCTGAATCTCCCAGCCTTCCCTCCTGTCTGAACGCTCTCAGAATGCTGACTAGATACTTCTTCTCAAACAAGGCTTTGATGGTATGGCTTTCCCTCTTACCCTCCCTACAAAGCCCTGCCCTTTATCAGTTCAGCTTTCCCCCTTTAGGGGCCTGAGGGTGCAAAGCACAGCCTTCTAGTTGCCTCCTCCTTCTCTGAATGGGGCCCTGCCACTCACAGCCTTGGAGACCCAGGGCTTGCGGCCTCAGCAGTCTCCGATAGCCCTCCTGCAAATGTCAAAGCTTCAGACTCCTGGTGCCCTCTCTGCATACGGAAACCTGGAGCATTAGAATCCAGTGAGAATGCTGTTTGTGGTCCCCACGGACAATTAAATGAATGGGTTTGTTGTCTTTCTCTCCATATACAGTCAGTACTGAGGGTGGAGGAAGGCTGGGGTGGGAGGAGATCGCAGGGAGAGGTGCTTATAAACCATCTGAGGATTAACGTTTCCCCTGAGGTGGTTCCTAGCTGCACAGCCAGGCTCTCCCAGAAACCCCCCTGTATAGTGTTAGGGGCCAGAGGTCACTGCCAAAACCAGATGCCCAGGTTTTAGAGGATGAGGCTCTTAAGCAGGGAAAGAAGAATATTCTTTTCCGCCCCTTTTTCTCATCTAAGCTGATGAGGCTCACAGGGACAAATACCAGAATGTATACTGATGTAGTGTGACCGGCCAGGACACACAGCTCCTGACAGACGTCCTCAAGAAGCACCAGGACATCTCACACCCCCCAGCGGAAGAAGGACTGGAGCCATGAAACCGAGTTCCATGGCAGTTAAAGCAGCGTATGTACCTGCAAACACACGCTCACAACACACACACAGCATCAAGTCACGCTTCAATGTCAAACTCCTCTTTTAACCCTTCTAGTTAAAGGTGGGAAGGGGGACATTAGCAGGCGTGTGAATGACTCGTAGCTGCTCCGGGTCATTTTAAGTGGAGCTGGCATTCATGTTTAAGCAGCTGCTATTATCTAGAGATAGGTAAACCCAGGGACGTGGCCCTGGTCAGGAGAGAGGGCAGACTTGCTGGGCCTTGAAAGGAACCTAAAGTCACATTCCCAGACTGACTGGCACTGCCAGCTGGCCCCCCTACCAGTCCTATGCCACAAGGAGCCACCCCCTGATCTATGGCTGCAGTGACCCAATGGATTGTGTGCCCAGAGAGGCATGTGTCCCTTGGGCAGGGCCCTCTACATGGGACCTAAAAATAAACCATCAAGTGCATCCCTTTAAATGAAGGAGAGATTAAAAGGCATCCAATTAGAAGTGTCACCTAGGCAACGGAAAAGAACTTGGGAACCGAGTCGCCCAGAGAGGGAAGTAGAGATTCCCATAACAGAAACATCTAGACTCTGAGGGCTTAATCCACAGGCAAAATATCAACCGTGCTCCAAGAAATGAGCCCAGGAGGCATATGGCTCAGCAGTTGAGACTCGATGAGTTAGGCAAGGCTGAAGAGATGTCCCTTCTATCCTCCCAACAGGCTGAAGCCTGCACCTGACCAGTCGAGTGGCCATGGGAGGTCAGGCTTCCAGAGGGAGATGCCTCAGAACTCTTTGGCACTCTCTCCTCAGCAGTCCTGCATCCTAAGGTTTATCCTAAACTTCTCGTGCTTCACTCTGTTCAAAAAGCATCAAGACACACTGGAATTTGAACTTAAATTTGAACCCTTATGTATGCAGGGACAATCAAATGGCTCTCATAAAGTTAGATACCAAGTAGATTATAAAGAGAGAAGGTTATAAGATCAATCATTGGTTAATCTTACCACGATTGACTGAACCCACGGTCATGAGTTAGTCTTTGCCTCTACACCCAGCAAGGTTGATGTTATGTGCTATTGAGTCGCCTTCAACTCATAGCGATCTTATGTACAACAGCCCTAAACCCTGCTCTATCCTGTGCCAATCTTATTGTCTCTGACATACCTACCCTCATTACCCCAGTTACTGAACCAATCCATCTCATCAAGGGTCTTCCTCTCCTGCACTGTCCCTCCATCCTCCCAAGGAAGATGTCTCTCTCTGAGAACTGGTCCCACGTTGCAACATGCCCACAGTATGTCAGATGACACTTCAGAATCCTTGCCTCCAAGGAGCAGCCTGGTCTCACCTTCTCTAGAACAAACTTGTTTGTTCTCCTAGCAGTCCATGACATAGTTATTCAACACTCTTTTTGAGCACCACAGCTCAAAGGCATCAATTCTCCTTCTTTCGTTCCTAGTCATTGTCCAGCTTTCCAATGCATAGCAAGTCACTGCAAAAATCATGGCCTGGATCAGGCACACCTTAGTCTCCAGACTGACATCGTTGCTCTTCAGTACTTTGGAGAGGTCTCTGACAGCAGACTTTCCCATTGCAATTCATCTTTTTATTTCCTTGGTCTGCTCATACCAAGAGTGTTGGCTGTGGAGCCAAGAAGACTAAAGCTGTTAACAACCTTGATCTCCAACATCTATCATGATGCTGCCAATCGGCCCAGTGGTGAGAATCTTTGTTTTCTTTATACAGAACTTCAATCCATATTGTAGGCTGCAATCCTTGACCTGCAGCAAGTGCTTCAGGTCCTCCTCAGTCTCAGCAAGCAAGGTTGTGTCATCTGCATAATGCAGATTGTTGATAAATCGTCCACCAATCTTAACCCCACATTCCTCCTCATAGAGCCCAGCCTCCTGGATAATCTGTTCTGCATACAGGTTGAAAAGGTATGGAGACAGGACACATCCCTGGCATACACCCTTTCCA